GACCGCCCGGACCGGCTCCCCGGAGCGCTGGGCCCGTCGGCAGCCCCTACTCTGCCGCCCTCCCGCTCTGTGGTTCTCTTTTCTTGCTCCCAGACTTTCTTTTCCCAGTTTTTTTTTTTCTTTACCTTTGTCTCCCTCATTTAGCATTTTCTGAATATCTCTCCTCCTTCCAGTATCTCCTTAATATCTCGTTAGTTCTATTTAACTTTCTGTCTCTTCTTTTTTCTATATCCCTATCCTTTCTTTCCACTTTATTTGTCATTACTCTTTGTCTTTCTTTCCCGTTTCCTTTTTTCTTTTATCTCTACATGTTTTCTTATCCAGGTTGTTTTTTCTTTTTTAAATAAAAATAAAAATTGGAGTCTCTTTTGTTCTTTAAAAAAATATACTGTCTTCAATTTTTCCTTCGTTTTGTCTTTTTCGTTCTTGCTATTTCTTTTTCGTGTCTTTCCTTTTTCTCTTTTCTACCTTACCGGGTTTTCTCTCCTTTTCTCAATTTCTTTCCCTTTTGGCTGCCCTTACCATTTTGTTTGTTTGGTTTGGTTTTTGTTTTTCCTCTTTTTTCTGTGTTCCCTGATACTCTGATGGTCTTGTTCACTATCTCTCCTCCCACCTCTCCAAGCTCACGGCCACCTCTGTTCTCTTTCTTGCCTCCAGTCTTTCTGTCCCGCGCCTGGGTCCAGTTTCGTGTTAGTCTCCAAGGCTTGGTCCCCAAACTGTGAGTGGACAGGCTTTGGGCGGAATGCCAGACCTTCCTCCCTGCCCTAGAGTCCGAGCTGCGACCGTGGAACCCACCCCACCAGGAGCTCCTGTTCACGGTGAAGCTTCAGGCAGCCGGGGCAGGGGCTGACGCAGGCCAGTGTTGACACGGCTAGGAGGCTCACCTTCCATGTCCCTGGTGACTGTGCTGAAGTGCATCCCGGCCGGGGATCTCTGTAGCCCGCGAAGCTTCGCCTGGTCGGAGGACCCGGGGCCCCGGTGGGCGGTGCCCTCCGAGGCCTCGGCTGCAACCAGAGAGGCGATGCTGAACGCACTGGCCCGGGGAGACAGCGGGCTCCGCGCGTCCATAGGCGCCCGGCGGCCTGGCCGGCGCCGCCTCCGACTGCGTGCGCCCAGCCGCACCGCGCCCAGCCCAGCCCAGCCCACGGAGCCCGGGGGCGGGGGCCTGCGGTGCCACTCAAAGCCTCGGCCCCAGGCCCAAGGGATTATGGCGTCATGGGCCCCCCACTGGGACCAGTATCGGTCCAGGGGCCCAAAAGGGTGGAGCACCCTGGAAATTTAGGGCCCTCCTGCTTTTCAGGCTCTCTGTCCCGCACCTCTGCACCTCTACTTTCAGGGCCCTCAGTGACCAACGCCCCTTGAACATCCCGCTGCTCCTGCCCTGGCCCGGCCTTCCTAAATTTGGCTAAGCCCACGTTGGCTTCTACAGCGGAGAGGCCGATTTGCTTGGAGCACCCAGCAGCAACCTGAGGTGGCAAGGAGCTGATGCAGCTTCGAGGGGCAGCCTGGGCCCAGCCCAGCCCCTACCCTGGCCCCTCCCGCCTCCACCTCCTCCCTGGCTGCCCCTGCACCTGGGTAAGGAGAGAGCAGCTCGGGTTCGCAAGCAGCCAGCCCCGGACAGATAGCCCCGGGGCCGCGGATTCCTCTGTTTCTTCGTGCGGTGGGCCAGGACCCAGCCCAGCAAATGCCTCACAAACCCCTTAAGTCACCTCGCTGTCCAAGCTGGGGACCCGAGCTGAGGGATGACGCCCAGGCCGCAAGCAGCCCGGGAGCCCGAGCGTCACGCGCTCTCGCGCGCACCACCCGCCTCTGGCCAGGACGCTTTTACATCCGGAGGGTGGGCAGTGCCCGCTCCTCCGACCTCCCCGCTCACCGGCCTGGTGCAGGGAGGGACGGGGGGCGGGGCCTGGCCAGCTAGGGAGAGGAGGACACGTCGGAGTTCAGGCCACACCGACTGGTGCTGCCCGCTTGCCACCCCTCAGCCTGCCTGCCCACCAGGAAAGGCCCAGCTGCCCAACTAGGCCTCCAGCCCCAGGGCCTGTAGGCTCAGGCGTCCTGATGCCAAAGCCTGACTTGGCCTGTATCTACTATCTCTGGGGTCTTCTCTGATCCATTCAGCAATGTCTATGTCCTTCTTTTTCAGGGTCTGGCCAGTTGGGTGTCAAGTCTGTAACCCTTCTTCATCCTAGAAGCCTCCTGTACCCTTCACTGGCAGTCAAGGCTTCTATTTCTACCCACGACCTTGTAGGCCTCTGACTGTGCTTGCATGGGATGGGGGAGGCGGGAAGGCAGAATTTCTCAGAGCTATTACACTCCCAGGGCCTCAGACCACAGGGTACAGAGGTTCTAGCTGGGAGCCGGGAGGGCATGAGAACTGGGGATGAGGAAACTGGGCTCTAGCACATGGACTGACATTAGCCAGAAGCCCAAGAAGAAGCACGAGGACAGGAGTGCAGAGGTGAGTGTGCAGGTGTGTGCGGGGTGTGGTGTGCATCACTGTATGTCCAGTAGGCTCCTGGCCTGCAGCTGGAGCCTTGTAGACTAGATCAGGAAAGAAACAGAAGCTGTCACCAAAGCATTCTTTAGGTCCTGAGTGGCCATTCAGGACGCTAAGGTTGACAGTGACCTATATCACTCAGTGACTGTCATTTACGGGGTAGAAGGAGAAGGTTCAAGGAGGAGTGTAGTTCTACTTCCCTCTTCCCTGAGCTGGACCAGCCCCTTGCCTCCAGGATCAGAGGGGGTGCTCCCCTGATGGAGGGGAGAGCCCGCTGTAGACAGGTGGGAAGGGAGGGTGTTGATAGTTACAGGTCATGATAGTGAAACAGGAGGCTTGGCCAGTACCAGAGGTGCAGAGAGGGCAGAGAGTCTGTGGGTCTTGCAGGCTAGGGGGTGGGGGTGGGGTGGGTGTTATGTCCCTGTGTGTAGATATGGGATGGAGTTCCTGCCTGTGGTATGGTCTTATCCTGAGTGCACAGGGCATACCCAAGGGAGCGGTCCCAGTGTGTGTACCACAGAGGCAGAAGGGAGGTGTGAGCCCGGTGAAAGCTAACACTGAGAGGGAGAAGTGAAAGTGAAAAACCCGGAGGCATCCGAGAGAGTCCAGATCAGCCCCTTAGGGTGCTGTCCTGAGGTCCCCAGACCTCCCCATGGGGGGGGGACAGTCCTTGTAACCCCCCATTAACCTTTTTGTGCAGAGGCGAGACTTTCAGGGTGAGCTTTATCTGCACGCTCACACACTCGCCAGAGCACTGAGCGTAGGTTGGGGGAAAGCTTATAAGGAGCGCTGGGAAGGGGTAGAAGTCCCACTCCTGGAGCTCTTTCGGGGACTGACTCACCATACCAGCCACGGATACTCACCTACTCGGTCGCGGAACCTCCAACCCCGCAGCTCAACACCAGGACCCTTCGAAAACCGTCGGTTGAAGGGACCCAAAGGGGCCTGAAGCCATGGAAGCTCGAGGCTTCCGAGCCTCCAACCTACTGCTAAGCCGCAGTCTGCACCGATGCCTGGCAGGGCCCCTCGACGCTCCTTCCCTCTGTCGGGTGTCGCACCACCCTGTCTTGGCGCTTTTCCGCGATCCTCCGCCACCCGCAACCCTGCAACCCGCCTTGCGCTCTTCTGCTCGCTGTCGCGCCACTCCCAGTGCCCACTCCTAGCCCCGCACACGCCCTTTCCACACGAGAACAAACACGGCACCTCGCCCACAAGAAGCGTGTGTTCCCACTCACCTGGACCGGTGGCAGCTCCCTTCCGCTTCGCTCCCCCTGCCGGCCGCGCCTCCATTGCCGCGAGGTAGGAAGAGGCCAGGCTGGGAGCCGGCTTTGCGCGGACGAGGGGCTCGGGAACCGCTCGTATACGGACTTCCCGGGGCGTAGTGCACGGCTGGGGTCTGGGCTGCTCGGTTCTCTTCACCACATACTGTGCAGAGCGAGGACACGACCCGCATCTTTCCAAGCGGAGAGCGGCGAGGTAGGGTCCCCGATGAGGCCATTTTACGGGCCCTAAAACCGAGGCTTGGCTTTGACACTGGCAGCAAGAGGTCAGAGGTGAAAACCAGAAGCTTGGATGATTGCAGGAGGCTGGAAGGGTGGGATGGGCAGAGGACACCGACAGCTTTTGCTTTGACCCCTAGGCCTTGCGCTAAGTCCATTGTGAGCGCTTAGCTGCGCCCGTGCACTGCCTCTGGAGTCCGTTGCTCTGATTCCCTCACCCCATTTTCAGAGTAGGACATCTTCAGAGTAGGAAGTGAAGCAAGCCTAATTTCCGAAGTTATCTCCTCAGTGTGCAGGAGGCGGCCCCTGGAGAATCTTGGCTGCTCTGCTGCTGCCCAGCTCCGCCTCCCCTGGGCACACGTGGTTCCCCCAGCGGGCCGTGGGACAAGAGCCCTCACACCCACCGATCCCACTCCTCACTTCTCAGCCATTGTCAAAACAGGGTGCCGTGCCCACCGCTCCAAATTTGCTCAGTGCCACGCTGTTCCCAG